TTGTTTTCCCCCTTTGTAGTGTAAATTGGTTTGGCCAAGCCACCTATATATGTTCCCTTGTGTCTCATTTCAGTGAGGTCAAGTTTGTTGGGTTATATTCTGTTTGTTGTATGCTGTTTCTGAGTATAAGTTATATTTTGTTGACCCCTCTTTTATAGGCGCTAGTCTGTTAAATTCTTGGTTTTCCTATTGTTTGATAATTTTATGGGTAAAATAAAAAAGACCCTATTTTTTCAAACAAACTCCTGTTCTCCTCATTGCTTGACTGTTTGGTCTTGGTCCCTGACATCCACACTATGCAAAAGCATGGCTGCACTGACTTCTAAGGGCTGAATCACTTCTGTCAACACCCATCCTCACAGCTGGGAGGGGTCTGTGCGTTCTGTGTATTTGACTTTGCCAAACTGTGATGAATTATTCTGTATATGGTGAAATGCACTACTGCACCGTGTGTGGAAGAGGCAGCAACCACTAGATGGCAGTGTGGGCAGGATTTTGGCTTGGGTGAAGTCATTCTTTAAATTAATATTTCACTTTGACATCATCTCCAGGTTGTAGCACTGTGCATCCATACAGTGTCAGAAAGAACTACTGTCCGTGTACCTGCAGTTATATTGTTCACTGTGATTTTTATTTGGTGAATCTCAAAGTCTGCTAAAGGTTCAACTGAGATAATCCAAATGGTTCTCCTGTTTTTGGTACCTAGTGTAGAAAAGTTTATTTGATACTCTCAATAAAGCCTTTTCACCACTATATAGCAAAACATAACAGAAGCTATCACAGGACACTTTTTATATAGAGCAGGTCTAGACCATACTCCTTATAAATTGGTACATACATTTGGGGATACAAATGTTGAGAGAAACAGTTCATGCCAAAGTGAAAATATTGTTTGTAAGAGAGGGGAGATGTACAGGTCAGAGACAACTGAAGACATGACTAGTGCTTGAAGTGTCTTACGCAGCTTTGCTGCCTTCATTCAGTTATTGCACTAGCAAAAAGATTCTACAGTTCTCATTAGATTAAAGGTAGGCATTTTTATTATGTGTTAGGTGAAAGTCAGATTGCTTTTCCAATCACCAAAAGATACCACAGTAGTAGTGGAGGAAAATGTTTTTCCTAGATTTTGGTTTCCTTTAATAACTCTAGATTAATCAATAAATCAAACGCTCCAATGTGGAGATTTCCTCCCAATAACCAGTGACACTAACAGGAACAATCTGCACCTCAGTCAGATAACTTTGCTGCAATGCCAGAAGTGCCAATACAGAAATGTTTTTTTTTGCCAGACTAAGTTTAAGTACACTCTCCTTGCAGCTCAAGTTTTGAATCAACAGACTTCATAGCTAGAAACTCACAGCTGGCTGAGTGATACATGTAATGTTTAGATTTGGTGGTGCTCATTTGGTGCCTTTCCTTTCATTCAAGCACAGATCATGTTTGTCAGCTGTTACTCTACACTTCAATGGACTTTTCTTCTCCTATAGTGTATTGTGGAATAGAGCTGCAACAATTAGTCAATTAGTTGTTAACTATTAAATGAATCGCCAACCATTTTGCTAATTGATTAATCGCTTTTTAATTTTTTTTTTAGGAAGAAATGTGAATATCTTCTGGTTTCCTTAGTCCTCTATGACAGTAAACTAAATAGCATAATTTTGTGATGTTTTATGGACCAAACAACTAATCGATTAACGCTCGACAGATTAATCAATAATTAATATAATCATTAGTTGCAGCCCTATTGTTGAAAGTGTGGGTCTGGAGGGTTTGAGGGTTGGGGGTACCTGAGTGTTGCCAGTGGTCCCGCCGGGTCTCCCTCCTGCCATCTTTAATGTGGGAACAACAAGAAAATAAAAATCAAGAAAAAAATAACAAAATGAAAAGAAATTGTGAGAAATTTTGTTCATGACAAACAGACTGGTTCAACAATGAGCTCCTTCCATGTGCCTCATGCATTTTTGACTAAACAACACAAATTGTAAATAATGTTTGACATCAAGGAGCTGACTGGTAACCAGTGTGACTGCGTGCTGTTTGTCTCTGTGTGTTGACTTTTAATGGAAAGCTAAACAAAAAGGACATACAAACTTTAGCTTTAAAGCTATGTCCATTAAATAGGAGGAAACAAAGAAAGTGACAGCAGATATGGATCAGAGAAAATGAGAAAGAATTCATCAATAACCACAATTACTGCCCAATTGAGGAAACAAAAAAGATCTGCAATACAATTGGATTTTCCTGGTTTGGAAATGCATAATATAAGAGATTTGGGAAGGTTGTGGCAGGCTGTGTTGACCAATGTTTCTGAAACGAACAAATAAAGATGTAATAGGTCTAAAGAATGGTTGGCAAGTCAACACGAGGAACAGCAAAAACACAATAAAGGCCCCCTATTGGCTGCATTCAGGTAGAGCATACTTAAAGTGGCTTATTATAAACTAGATCAGTCAATGAGTCAAGAAAATAAATTAGCAGATGTATCAGTAATGATAAGTTGTGGGCCTAAATAAACTCATCTATTTGTAGTATATAACACAAAATGTGAAAAATGTGTCACTCTTTTCAAAAGAAGGTCTGATTTGCTCCAACTACTGTGTATATGTTGACATTGTCTTCTTTGGTCATGTAAATGGGCCTTCACCCAGACAATAACCCACAGCACTTCATCATATACCTTTCAACTGTTTGTAATTGATAATGTCATAATATAATGCATTTATCGCATCTGACCAAAATTACACTTATCCTGTTTTATTTTATCCCTCCATTATGTTCACATTTTTCAATCTTGGTGTATATGTAGGCTGGTTATTTTATTTTCTCAGAGGTGATATAGGTAAGGAATGAATTGTTGATGGCATATGGAACCTGAGCCTTTATTTGTACAACGTCAGTGTTTACTGCTGAAAAACGTACTGTTACCGCTGACAATGTGAAGCTACATTTCAATTCTGTGTATAAGATTTTTATTCTCATTTTCTTAATTTTTTTTTCTGTGCTTTTATGCATTTTGAATATATGACACAGCTTACAGATAGTTAAATATGTCAGTTTTAAGTGTGTTCATCCTCACCACTACCAGCTGTTAGAAAGCTCTTTCTAGTTGTGCAAATGTACTATTGTGTGTATTCTGTGTATGTGTGTGTGAACTCACGTGGGCAGAATTGTTGTTCTGGCTGGATCGTGACCTTCGTCTGGAAGTGATGCCAATGTTTTCTCCTTTCAGCAGGGAGTGGACCACGTCATCAAGAAAGGTCATCTGGACCATAGACGGATCCACGTTTTGAGGCTCTAGCACCTGAACACACACCAGATTCACTTTACACTGTCCACATGTGAACCAGTTTTTTTTAGATCTAATAAGCTTCTGGTTTTAAAGGTGCAGTGTTTCACTTTCATGGTGGTCATGGATGTTCATTTTAAGCTAGTGAGTAAGCAGTATTGTAGTGAAAAAGTGGGAGAGCTAGTTTGTGCTAGCTGCACAATGATAACGCTGCACTGTGGTGAAGAGCGCAGGTAGCTGCAATAATGCAGCTCTCGTCAGAAGGCCTGAGTTGGAATGACAACTTGATTTAGTGAAGAGAGTCAGTCTGGTATAGACAGGTTGATAGATAGGTGGCTTTTCTGCTAAACTTGGAAGGGACAAGCACAACACCTGTATCCACGTTAGCTGTACACAACAAAGCTGGCAATAGATGTAGCTTCAGAATGCTTAGAAGATATGAAAATACGTATTTGTATGTATTTATTTTGTTACTGTTTTGTTTTGCTTGTTAGACATTATTGTCATGTTCCTGTCCTGTTTTTGTGCTATTGAGAAAGTGGGGTGGGGGGTGGGAGATAATGTTCTTGTCCTTGTTATTTGTACTGATAAAAAAACAACTAATAAATAGTGTTTAAAATGCATGCATGGGTATGGGTGTACCTGGTCATTCATAACGACCATGTTTCGACTGAAGAGGTCGTGGTGTGTAATGATGCCAGTAAACCACTGGGTGGCCGAGTCTTGTCTGTACACACGCACACGGTAGCCATTCAATGAATAGGGACCTAGAAGCAACAGAAAACAGTTCCAATCACGGTGTTAGTGTCCTGTTACTGGAAGTATCAAAGTTAACTGCAGGTGAAGACACACTAGTTACAGTAATGCCTGAACAGGCTGAGTGCACAGAACATGATGACCAACACATTCAGCAACTGTTACACTTAACAACATTGTAACAATGATACTATCTACACAGTGTAATGCTTAGCAATATAAAGAATGTAAGAAAATCTTACCTTGCATAAAAATTTCCTGCACCTTCTGGTCTTTGAGCCACCCTTTCACTTCTTCAAGGAGCTGATGGTTGTCTCTTAACACTGGGTTCTGACTATCCACCTCATCCTGAAAGACAGACAGATGCACACACACACACACACACACGACACAACAGCATCAAACACACTGAAACTTGTTCCAAGTAGTCCACACCATTTTTACACAGACAAGTCCAAAAATGGTATCCACACCATTATCTTTAAAGTCAACAACAAAGTATTTTATTGTGGCAATCTGGTCATTAGTGGCAGGCAGGGACACAGCCCTGTTAATTTACTGAGCCTCACTTGCTTAAACCTCTGCCCCTGCTCTCTATCAACACACAAGGTGGTATTTTAATTCCACTTAAATTATTTTGTGTCAGTTGTAACATAGACCAGTCCACACTCTATATTGTGGTGTGTGGGATTTGAACCAGTGACCCTCCGGTTCCCAAGCCAAGTCCCTACAGACTGAGCCACTGCTCAGCCACAGTCTGATTTGGTGGTCACTGAGAAACTCCATTGGAGCAGCTGGGGGGGGTTCAGGGTCCTCAGAGTGCCTCAGCCGTGGAAATGAGGGAGGGGCAAGCAATGCTCTTTCACTTTTCACCCACAGATTTATCCTGTAAGTATGGGGATTGAACTATGAACCTTCTGGCCACCCCATCACCCCAAGGCAAACTCCTGAGCTACTGCTAGGGTAACTTAACTTAAAATATTAACAGTTAAAACAGTAATATAAGCTATCATCAAAGACAAAATATATTTTAAGACTAGGTTTGTAATAATGTGCAACTGGCAGTAATTGATAGTGAAATGCAAACATATAAACAGACAGATACTCTGAAAAATCTTTACTGAGTCTGATCCATGTTGTAACAAGAAATTGTACATATGCCCAATCATCCAGTAACTGGTCAGAACATAACTATATTATCCTATAAATATTTATAAAAACATAGGATCTAGACCTGCCCTATTTGAACTGTGTCCTGAGATAACTTCTGTTATGATTTGGCACTATACAAATACAACTGAATTGAACTGAGAGGTAGGATAAATTGAGATATGGAAAGAAACAAGTAGAAAAAAATTAAAAAGATAATCTTCACCACTCAAACACAAAGCAACAATATGCACACCACTGGCAGACAGGACGAGGAAACCAAACCACATTCACCATACAGCACTGGTAGCACACTCCGCTCTGCTCTGCGTGTGTGTGTGTGTGTGTATGTATGTATCATTTTGGGGAGTCTTCAAGGTGATGTATTACATGTGAATAATGGATGAACAGAAAAGGAGAAAATTAAATACTGAGTCAAACACCACCAATTAAATTAATTGAAATGCACCAAAGGTCATATTCTAAGAATTACTCTGTAGTAGGGTTTATATTTCCAATATAATGCATACACTGCATAGCAAGACATTTTTCTCTCAGTGCATGAAGGTCAGATGTCCGTCTGCATTCAGATTCTAATGACTGATACATATTAGTGGTTGTTTAAAATGATCTTCTTGAGGGAAGATTGAAAAAGAAGGCACTTCCTGTCACTCAGTGTAGGTCAGCAGTGAGCTTGACTACTTTCACTGTCATGACTGTTTACTGACAAATATTACCACAGCAAACAAAATATCCATATAGTTCACAAAGATATAAAGTAAAACTTACAGAATCAAAATTCAGAAGTGAATGCCCCAGTCAGGCCTGCACAATAAAACCTTGAGATCAAATAAGGAATACATCCTGGCATATCCTTTAATAATGGGGCATGCTATGAGTGAATCACCACAGCCCTTCAGAGTACACAGCATGGCGGCAGCCATGACCTACATCTGTTACAACAACCCACAGACATTGCACGATGGAGAGGAACAACAATACTGTATGACAAATCATTAAGGGACCAGAGTGTTTTTTTATTGTCAAAAATGGAATATAATATTCATAGGTATGTTTTCATTATACCTTCTTCTATGGAGCCCACCATGTTGAACTACCATACAGTAGCCCAGAAGGGACAAACCAAATACTGGCTCTAGATAGAGCCTTTTGCGATTTTTGCTGCCACGGTAGTTTCTGCAACTACACTACTAGGTGTCATTAAATCCTACACACAGGACTTTAACATTCAAATTATTACCTGTGTGCCTTGATAAAGAAATTCAACCTTTTTTCAACTGTTTATTGAAAAGAGGTCATGTAAAAGTATCAATAATAATATCAATATGAACTGAAATTAAACATTTTATCTCCATACATACATCCTTTTTCTCAACCCTTCTGCAGTTCATATGGCACAGACATAAAACATGCTGAAAGGCTGCAGTTATCAGAGTAACCAGCATATCTACTCACCATGCAGAGCTGCAGGAGTCAAACAGAGACAGGAAGGCCCGGGAACAGACCAGATAAGGTCACGGCTTTCATTTTACCTTCCCATCTCTCTCTCCTCTGATTCTCTCATATTTTGCTCCAGTGTTCTAGTTTTGTAGCCTTATTTAGCTCCAAATTAAACCAGTGTACACACTAAAAATAGCACATTGGAAGGCAGTGCTACAGAGGTCAGCAGAAACATGTCTCGTATATTCTTACAATATGTCGTCTTGATGAGTCTATTTCTACCATCTATTCTGAATTACTGTTGTCTGTTTAGACATGATACACACAGAGACTGTGTTACCAAGGCAACATGGTCACCATGACCACCAATTGGTCTATTTTCATCGGACTGGAGAGAAAGATATGAGCACAGAATCAAGTGTCCAGTGGCAACAGGTAAGTGCAAACTGATGATAATGGTTGTGGACGGTTTGTATATTTAAATCAACCACAGCAAGATGTAAAAACTATTCCAGCAGAGTGTGATACTGAGTCCAACGCATGACAATAAGCAAACATGGTGTGAAACCAGCCTCTGCTTCTGTTCTCAACAGACTAAACTGGATAAACTGGATTTTTCAAAAGCTTAGTATAAAAGAGAAGCCTTTCTGATACAGATACTTAATGATGTACTAATTAAAATACATTATGGATAACAGCATTAATTATTGTCTTTAGCCTTTTCTTAGGCCTGTTTCTGTGACTCAAGGCTATTTGTTCAAGCTCTGCTTTGAATACAACAAAGGGCAGACACACCATAGTGTGACTCCAGATAATTAGTAACATAACAAATATGACACACATTCACATATATACGGAGGCAAAGACAGATGGCTTGTTAAAGACTTCAAGCACCCTTTCTTTCAGGGACAATGCTTGTTGCTGTGGAGACACTGAGGCTAAACTGTCGGAGAGTTTCTTCACCCTTTGACACACATTCACACAGCGATGAATGTGTGTGAATGTGTGTGACATTCACACATCGGTGTGTGAATGTCGGGGATCGAACCAGGGATCGAACCCACAACCTTCTGATTAGGGGACAACCCGCTCTGCCTCTGCGCCACAGCCACCCAGCAGTACAGGGTAGCTGAAGATTGACTGGACTGGACAAATATTTATTTGATACACTGGAGCTGTGGTCCATTTCAGACACTCTTTGGATGTAACACTATGT